AAAATAAATTAGTAATTGTTGTCAGTCTTGTCATAAATACTGGTAAAATAATTTTCTCTAAAAATTAGTGCAATGGTCCAAATTCTAAATGAGAGATCTGTGTGTGTGTTTTCACCTTTGTGTCTTTTGTCTCCAGAGGGTTGCCGGGTTAAAATGGTGCCATTATATATTCTAAGATTTATTTATTGATGCATACAAGAGCTGGCATACAGGCCAGAGATGCGGGGAGTGAGAGGATTCACCAGAGACAGAGCAGGGAGCAGAACAGGTAGATCAACTGAAGTACACTGCTGAGGTGAGCTGCAGGTGAGACAGGAGAGGTCTGCCTCGCCATGTGGGTCTCTCCCTGGCTGGCTGGGTATCGAACTCGTGCGGCAGAGGCTGTAGATTGCTTCATAGTGCGGTGCTTAACCCCTTGCACCACCAGGGATTCCACCACAAAAACGATTTCAAAATGCAATGGTTTAATTAAAGCACTGGTGAGCACCTTCATTGATATTTCCTCCCCTTGTCCTAGCAAAAAAAATAAAATAAACAAAAATCCTCTGGCATATGAATTTGTTTCATTTGTAATGCTGCATTTTGAACTTCGCATCCTAAGAAAAACTAGAGCTTCTTCTGGTTTCTCTATCTTAAATTTGTTCTATCATTATTTACGTGGTGGTATATTTCTCCTATAAAACTAAGGATCTCCTAAGTTCAATAAAATGAAAATTTGACTACTTAATGAGCTTTTGGTTTATATTTTGCTTCTTAATATAGGAAATCTAAACTTTATCATTTTATGTAAAAAAATAAATAAATAAGAAGTATTTATATATGAGTTACCCAGTAGAAAGGAATAACAGCATAACAGCTCTTACAATGTCCTGAGGTGAAAAATGTGAGCCTGAGTTGTTCATTACCCAAAGTTATGTTGGACAAGGCCTGGGTGTGGACAAAAATTTTGGGGATTGACTGACGGAATTTCTCTGGCCAGGCGCCTAACTTGTGGCAGGGCAGCGCCCCCTGGCGGCAAAGGAGGGGGCGGCGGGAGGGAGGTGGGGCCAGGCTGGGGGAGCATGGCCAGGTGCCTCAGCCACTGAGGTCGCTGCTCAGAGACCCGGGGACCCCACATTGGCTGCCCTGGGCCCCTGGATACCTCGGACCATCGCGGACACAGAGGGTCGGACTCCGAGGTCAGGTCTGCGCGGGGGTCTCAGGCTCGTCCCCCAGGGAGTTGCTGCTAAGGGGCCGAGAGTCTGCGAGCAACGGGCGCTGGCACGACACAATCCTGATGCCCTGGGGATGCCTGTGTTGTCCCAGGAATATTCTCTCTCCGCCTAGAGTGCAGGAGGCAGACTTGTCAGAGGCAAGAGTTCAGGGTGCTCCTCTGGGGTGCGCCAGGAGAGACCTGTCCCCGCCCCTGTCCGCCTCTCTGCAGGCGGCTGCCCTGTGCGTGGACAGTGTCCACGTCTCCAGGTCCATCCACAATGTCACGTGTGGTCTTTTATTCCCGTCCGTGTTTTCACGGACCTTTTTAAAAATAGCAGATACACGTCCGTGTGTAAACTCTATCCCCTCTTCATGAAATACAGCCCCTGCCCCCATTCTGGAGAGGCTGTGGCCTGAGAAGATCAGAGTGAATGACCTATACTGTGGAGCACTCCCTGGGACACCCCGCAGGGCATCGGACCGGATTCGGGTTGGGAGGGGTGGCACTCAGGTGAGAGTAGCTTTAGATTTCCTGTGGGGGAGTCTCTGCTCTGTGCAGCAGGGTGGGGGTACACACTGGACAGTGAGCATGAGCGCCCAGAGACTCAGGATTGTAAAAACTAAAGAGGAAGAGCAGCTGGGACAGTGCTCACTAAGCACTAACTGAAGAACCAGAGAGTCGATCACAGAACTTGGGAAAAAGTTGCCTTTGATGCAAATAAACTATGTTTTCTCCAGAGTAGATTTACACCTTAACGTACCATCGACTGGCAGACACCCCAGCTCGGGTGCACGTCCTCTGTGAGGATCAGGCCCTGCTGTCCCTTTGTCCCAATGCGGCCCAAGTGACCCTTGTCCCTAGTTCCCGTGCACACATGGAGGCTCCCAGCAACATCAGGAATTCCCCACTTACCAATGATCAGGGCTGAGGACTGACAACTTGGGAGGTGTGACAAAACCATCAGGCTAGATTTGGAAAAAAGTTACTTTTTTGGTTTCCCATTCAATTTTAAAAATGTATGCTCGGGCCTCCTGGGTGGTGCAAGTGGTTAAGCATCAGCACTATGATGTAATCCGTAGCTACTACATCAGGGATTCGATCCCCGGCCAGGGAGGTGACCCACATGGCAGAGCAGACCTCTCCTCTCCCCCACTGCTCCCCTCAGCAGTGTATTTCTGTCAGTCACCTATTCTGCTCCCTGCTCTCTCTGCTGAATCCTCTCAGCCCACCACCTCTGGCCTGTACCCCAGTTCTTGCATGCACAAATAAATAAGAATTAAAAAAATAAAACAGTAAGCTCTTTGTCTATTGGTAGGAGACAGTGACTCTGCAAGTGGATATTGGAATCAGTCACCCTGTGTGTATATACAATTATTCCCCATATATATCCTTGTTTATTCCTTTCTGTAATTTCAGAAAAAGAAAAGAGATTCATTAATGTATCTTTAAATTTCTGAAGATTACAAACTATAGGGTCCCCCCTGGTGATACAGGGGTTAAGTCTCAGTACTATAAAGCTATCCATGGCTACTGGAGGACGAGTTTGACCTTTCCAGGGAGCTGACCCACATGGCTCATGGGGGAGGGGCAGCTGCCCTCAGCAGTGTATTTTAGTGGATCTGCCAGTTCTGCTCCCAACTCTGTCTCTGGTGAATTTTTCTCACTCCCTGTAATGCTGTCCTACATCCCAGTTCTTGTAGCATAAATAAATAAAATAAATCTTTTAAAAAGATTATAAATTATAGCTTAGCACAAAGGATAAATAAAATATAATTTTATAACAAAATAAACTCCAAAATCCTGCTAGCTCTCTCTTTTGTTAAATCATATTTTAGAGTGTGTTTAGGGAAAAAGAAATCACCAGAATGGATCTATAATCATCACACACTTGAACATAACCTGATTCCAGTAAGGTTGTAACAGGCCATCCATCACTTTCAGTGTTTCTGTGGCATCCTATTTGTGGGTGTCTGTGTCACATGTGGTAATATCCTCTATTCCTATGGAGTGATCACAAGATTTCCATGGAACAAGGGCAGGTGGTTGATGTCAGTGAAGAAAGGAACACATATTCTAGGTTTGCTCTGGGTGCTGTATCTGTTGTGTGCAACTGGGTAAAGAGCACATTAAACGGGATATCACTGATGGCTGAGAGTCACTCGGACAGTTGAGGTAACGAGAGTAATTAAAAGAGGTGAGCTGCCCTTCCTGGGTTAAGGGAAGACTCACTGTTGAAACACCTGTGTGCAAGGGTCCTGGATAGTATAAACGTGAAATTTCAGAATTACCACATGACTCCATTAACTGGGTGAAGAAACACAAGGCCACACTATCATAATCTTCATCTCCGAGTAATCACAAATGTGTGGCTGTCATTACAAGTATTCCCCCTGCCTTTCATGACAATTCATCACCTAAGTGTGTCACTGACACACATGATTAACACGATTTCAATTTTGTCTGGTATCTAAAATTTAAATCAGTCATGATATGTTCATTTTATATCTTGACTCTTTCACTCAACAACATGTAGGCAAGGTGACCCACATACTGTGTTTTCACTATTGTATATTATTCCACCAAATGCAAAGTAACATCTCTCTTCTGTTCTACATGCACAGTATATTATTTCATAAAAATTTTATAACCATGCTGGAATAACACTATATTTGCAATTTTGTATAGTTTTTTTCATTTAATGTTATAACGTAAGTGTTTTGCAAGTCATTGATAACTATTCAGAATGACGATACCTAATTGCTACTTTTATTGTCACATATTTGACAGTTTCCTCGAGTTCTGATGGAGATCGTTTCCTGTATTTGTTAGTACAAGCAAGTGCTGGTTAGCATTTTGACGGACATACATTTTTATTTGTGTTCACCACATTTCCTGAGGTCATTTCTCAAAAAAGCATTACTATATCTTTTAAAGCACACGCATATATATAATATTCCAAATTCTAATAGCTGAAGTCAAAGTTCCCCACAGAAGGGTGATACGAGAGTTTTCTGAATGAGCGAGAAAACTGTTTCAGCGGGTTCTTGCCTCCACGTCATTCTGTCTCCCCACCTTGAAAGCTCTGACGTCACACACTCCCTCTACCTGCCCCCCCTCTGCGTGGGCGTCCCCCCTCCACGACTCTCCATGGCTGCGTCTCCCTTTGGCGGGGCTGACCCGCCCCTCGGCCCCGGCTCCATCCCCCCTGCATCCCCTGGCCAGGCCTGGGGCCTCTGGCCCCCTTATCCCACCTGGGCAACGCCGCCCCCCCCAGCCACCAGGCGGCGCGCGCCGCATCTCTGTGCCTGGTTCCCCCGCGAGCCTGTCAGTCCTCGGCCACGCCCCGCCCCCTGCGTGTTGACGTCACTCACCTGCGCGCAGACGCTGGAGCGGAAGTGGTGGAGACCCGGAGCCGGGAGCGCCCGCCCTGGCGGAGCAGGGCTGCGGGCCGAGGAGGGAGCAGCCCCGGGGGCAGCGCGCAGGCGGGGAGCGCGCCGGCTGGGGGCGGGGCGGGGAGAGGCAGGGAATAATGGGGGGCGGGACGCCCCGTCTCTCCCGGTGGCGGCAGCGGGTTCGGGCCTGTGGGGTCGCGGGTGAACGATCCTCGCGTGTTTTCAGTCACGGGGCGCGACTTGCTGTGGAGTCGCGTGGAAATTCTACGTTAACGGCGTCGTGGAGACGCGGGGTGTTCGCCTCCGTGTAGTTGGGTTTTCTGAGCTTCGGCGCAGCAGGACGGGCGGGGGCGCCCGGTGAGCCCCCGGGTTCTCCCGCTGGCCCGGCCCTGGGCCCGCCACTGCCGCCCTGGCCCTGCGCCCGCTCCCGCCTCCCCCGCTGCTGGGGTCTCCTCGGCACTCGCTGCTCCAGACTCGGGGTGAAGCTCTTGCGTGCGGGAGCCCAGTTTCTTCAGGAACCACCCGGAGCAAGAGGGAGGTGAGGACAAGTCGCTGCCGGTGGCTGGTGCAGGGGGGCCAGTCAGGGGACCCGGGGCGGGGCGGGTTGGGGGTGCAGAGCTCTGCGCGGGTCATTTTGGGTCATTTGGGGAGGAACATGGGGGTCAGGTCGTTCCTGAGTGTGACCCCGTGGGTGGCCAGCGCCCCTGACGGAAAGCACGTCCCCTGTGTTTGCTCCCAGCGCCTCCCTGCTGCACTGATTACCCATGGGGTGGGTTTGCCGGGCACCCAGCTGTGTTCCAATGATTTTTGTGTTTTATTTCTGTGAACTTACAATATAATTTGGGGAATTATAAGTTTACATGTTGTAAACTTCTCTGGGGCTGACACCGCCTCCCAACCCCAGGTCCAGCAGGCAGGAGGGCAGAGTCGATTCCCGAGTCCCCGGGGCACAGGTTCTGACCCACGGGGTTGCTGGCGCCTGGGGCTCTGCATTTCTCACAAGGGGTCTGAGATGCTGCCCCTGCTGGTCTTGGGCCCGCATGTGAGGGCTGCGGCACAGCTTCCAGGTTGTGCAGCTGACGTGGTCATTCAGAGCCTGGAAGAGGGACCTTGGCCCCCTGGACACTGCCTCCGGAGGCGACTTTACACTCTCCCTTGAAGAGAATCCAGGCTTCTCTGAGTCTTGAGTGACCAGGAGCCACACAGCCCGCCACACACTGGCTACAAGTGTTTAGTTTTCTAAAATGGGTTATTATTAACCGACTCCTTGCAGTGAAAGCAGTGGCCCTCTCTGCATCACTAAAGGACACACCCAAAAATCCTTTCAGCAGGGTCTGCTGGGCGCTGTCACTAACAGGGAGGGAATCTTTCTCAATGGGGAGCATCTTCGACACTGAATGGTTCTTTTCTAAGCTCTTGAGCTCTTTTCTCTATAATGGTGCTAAAAGGATCCCTCCTATTTCAGGGATTGAGTAAACCACAATGACTCATGGGAACTGGATATTTTGGAGAAAATCCCCTTTATGAGTCTTTTTTAAAGATTTTTTTAAAGATATATTTAATAATTTATGAAAGCACTGGGGTACAATCAGAAGCGTGGGAGGGTGAGAGAATTCACCAGAGCCAGAGCGGAAAACAAAACAGGCAGACTGACGAAGTACACTGCTGAGGAGAGCAGCGGGCATGGCAGGAGAGGCCTGTTGTGCCATGTGGGACCCTCGCCGGTGGTGGTGGAACAAACTGGTGCTGCAGAGGCTGCAGGCAGCTTCACAGCCCAGCGCTCAACTGCTGTGCCACTAGGGGAGGCCCTTTTTTAAAGCTTTTTTAAAAAATGCATAGAAAAACTGGAGTGCAGGCCAGAACTGTGGGAGGGTGAGAGGATTTACCAGAGACAGAGTATGTAGCAGAACAGGAGGATCTTCTGAGATATACTTCTGAGGGGAACAGCAGGTCAGACAGGAGAGGTCTGCTGCACTTAGTGGGTCAACTCCCACCTGAGGATTGAACTCAGGCCGTCATGGTGACAGCACTGGGATTTAACCCCTAGCCCACCGGCGGGGCGTGGGGAGGAAAGATGCACTTTACTTTTAAACGTGTTACCACTTCCTCTGTTATGCTTGCTTTGGAGAGAAGTTGAATTTCTCTAGAAAGGAGAAAGGAATCGGCCTTTATTGACCATCTGATGGAGATTACCTGAACCTGTGCAACATGTTCATTGCTTTAGTTCCGTGATCTCCATTAATGACGCTAAAGAGATATTATTACTACATTGTAGTTGTGGACACTGTGGTCCAAAAGGGATCAGTAACTTCTCTGAAATAAAAAAAATAAGCACAAGGGCCAGATATTTTTGGACCCCCCAAATTTTTGTATTTTGTTCTGAACCAGAGGTTTTATAATGATGGTAAATTATAACCCTCGTGGAGGCCGGGAGAGGGAAGGAGTTTGTGTCCATCCTCAGAACAGGTCTGTGGGTGCTGGGCGTCCTCCTCCATAAGGAAGGAGCTTGGGCTAAAATGAGACAGAAGAAAACTTTCAAGTATTGTACCATGTGAAGATGCTGTCATTAATATTGAACATGAATTACTTAATAGTTTTAGAATGGCTCTCATCCCAACATGATTGCTAGTCATAAGAGACTGCAGTTAAAAATAGCCCTTTCGGTGGGCCTCCCTGTGGCGCAGTGGTTGAGCGCTGGGCTGCGAAGCTGCCCGCAGCCTCCGCAGCACCGTTTCGATCCCCGGCCGCAGGCGAAGATCCCACAGGGTGCACAGACCTCTCCTGCCGTGCCCGCTGCTCCCCTCAGCAGTGTACTTCATCAGTCTGCCTGTTCTGTTCCCCATTCTGACACTGGTAAATTCTCTCACCCTCCCGCGCTTCTGACTGTACCCAGTGCTTGTATAAATAAATAAATCTTAAAAAATAGCCCTTTCAGGCCTCCCCAGTGGCACAGCGGGTTGAGCACAATGCTGTGAAGCTGTCCACAGCCTCTGAGGTGCGGGTTCAATTCCCAGCCAGCCAGGTAGATACCCACATGGCACGGCAGACCTCTCCTATTTCCCTGCTGCTCCCCCCCCAGCAGTGTATTTCAGTCCGTATGCCTACTCAGCTCCCCACTCTGTCTCTGGTGATTCTTCTCACCCTGCAGCACCTCTGGCCTGCACCCCAGCTCTTGTATAAAGATAAATTAATCTTTAAAAAAAGCATTTTCTCTAACTTTCTCTAACACAGCAGGCTTAATTGCTGCACCTACCAGGGAAAATTCCTGGAGATCTATTCTAGATCTGGTGAGGAGTGAATGCCTCTGCATTGCCTGCAGTATTGTTCAGGATGAGACCCCCCCCTTTAAGTGCATTTATTTGCTTATAATTTTTTAGGTTCTTCCCTGTCCTTAAAGACCATCTCTCTCTTTTTTTTCTTCTTTTCTTATATCCTTGTTCATTTTTGTCTAGTTACTGGTTTCTCCCCCAGGGGTGGTCCCCATAATGCTCCCACCACCATAGCAGCTGTGACCCATCACCACAATCCCTTGTGCTCTTCCCTCCCCTCTGTTGATCCCCTCCCTCCATCTTCCTGCTGGATACCTCAGCTCTTTGTCAGCCTGCTAGAGTTGTCTTTTTCTTTACATTTTGTTCAGTTTCTCTGTATTTCACATCTGATATTTCTTCTCCTGATTTATTGTGGTCAGCATAATCCCTTCCACCTCCATCCACATCACCACAAGTGGCATGAATGTGTCTGTTTTCATTGATGAGTAATATTGCCTTGTATATCTACACCACACCATTTTGACCCATTCGTCTGTTGTGTGGCATTTGAGTTGTTTCCGTGTCATGGCTATTGAAAATAGTGCTGCAGTAAACAAAGGAGTTCAGGTTTCCTGAGTTTTTTTTGTCCCTTGGGTAGATTCCTAGGAGTGGACTCACTGGATCATGTCCAGAGCCATTTTCAGTATTCTGAGGAACTTCCACACAGCCATCCATAGTGGCTGGACCAATTTGCCTTCCCACCAGCAGGGTAGGAGGCTCCCTTTTCTCCACTGCTCCTCCAGCATTTGTTGTTTCCAGGTTTTTTTTTTGTTGTTGTTGTTTGTTTGTTTGTTTTAATGTGGAGCATTCTTACTGGAGTGAGATGGCATCTCTGTGGTTTTGATTTGCATTTCCTTGATACTAGTGATGCTGAACCTTTTTTCTGTGCCTGTTGGCCATTTGCATTTCTTTGGAGAAGAGTCCTTTTACTTCTGCCCACTATTTGGACTAGATTGTTTGTTTTTTTTTTTTTTTTGAGTTGTGTAAGCTCTTTGTAGATGTTTGATATTAGTCCCTCATCTATCATATGGTTTGCAAATATTTTCTCCCATTCAGCAGGGTGTCTCTTTGTTTTCATCATTGACTCTTGCTGTTCTGAAGATTTTTAGGTTTATGGAGCCCCAACTGTTTACATTTTCCTTTGTTTTCTTTGCTTCTGGAGAAGAATCCTCAAAGACATTCCTGAGGATTGTGTCAGGGAGTGTTTGACTGTGTTCCCTTCTGTGTATTCTATGGTGCCAGGTTCCACAAGCAAGTCTTTCATCCACTTGAGTTGGTTTGTGTATAGTGTGAGGTAGTGGTCTAGTTCCATTCTTTTGCATGTTGCAATCTAGTTTCCCCAGCACCATTTATGGAAGAGGCAATTCTTTTTCCAATGTATATTCTTTGCTCCTGTGTCATAGGTTAGTTCCTCATTGTTATCTCTGTCTGTTCATGTTCCAATAAAGTTTTCATTATAACAGCTTTGTAACATTGTTTGATGTCTGGGAGTGTAATACCGTCTTTCTCCACCCCTTTTAGTCAGAACTATCGCTACTAGAGGTTTTTGTGATCCCATGTGAATTTGAACCATTTTGGTTCCATTTCATTGAAGAACACCACTGTGATTTGGTATTGGAATTGCATTGAATTTGTAAATTGCATACAAATGGGAAGTCCCTCCTAGGTTTTCTACATTTTTCCAATTAGGGAACATTCATAAAACAGAGTGTTAATAAAAAAGTAGGTATTATTTTCTATAATTTCTAAAAAGGTGTTATTTTCTATAAGTTCTGAAACAGACAAAGTAGGTCTGTTCTCTAGAGATGAAAGAATATTTCAGATTGAATGGCAAAGGCATTTAATCATATAATAGATGACAATTTGCTGATCATATAATATTAGGATATTCTTCCACTTTTCCGTGGATGAAACTGTAAGTAAGTCCGACATATTCTCATCTGCTTTATGTGCCACCAGTGAAAATGTTGCAGTCAAGTGACATAATTGCAGGATAGTGCCAGTGTGCTTTATAAAGGAATCCAACAGAGGAATTAATTCAGGAAATTCAAAACATGCAACTGGAAAACAGAAAATTGATAATGAAGTTAGAGTCATGTGTCTGGTTACCTGTATCTGTGAAATCCACACTCCTCGATTGCAGGCTGGTCACCAGCCGCTGGACAAGGCAGGACCAGACCCACTGATCCGTTGACTGTCCTTTCTGAAGCTGGGCTTGGTGTCTGAAATTGTACCTGGCAAGAAATTGTACCTGCTGTCCTGGGTGGGCTGGTTCACGTCCTCCTTTCTTTGCCACCTGGGGAGAGGAAAGGGAGGAACCAGATGTTTCCCAAAGGCTGTCTTCAGTCCTTTCCTCAGTCCTCGCTCCCTCACAAAAGACAACCTGTTGTGTCATGTCATTTATTTACAGCCTCTAAAAGCTCTTCAGTGGCTCCCACTGTCCGCACTCAGGCTAAAGTCCAAGCCTCCAGACAAGCTTGCAAGAGTCTTGCCATCGGCTCCTGCTGTCTCAGGCCTGCGGCCCCTCTCTGACAACCTCCTGTGTCAGGTGCTCCTTCCAGGGAAAACCGTGGCATCTCAAGCTCCCTGTCACAACTCTTGCAGCATCTGTTGAAGTTCCCTGTGTCCCTGATGCCTCCTGAGGGTGCTCAGAGCTGTGGGCTCAGCTCAGCTCGTGTCCTTGGCATCTAGCAGACAGTGGTTGCTTGGCAACAACAGGTGAAGGGATCGTGTCTACCTCTTGAGTCAGGGGATACTTGAAACCGAGGCTCAGATATAGGAGGAAAAACCTATATCCCCCACCCCGGGCCTACCTGATCCTAGAACCTTCTATTTTGACTGAGGGGGTCTTCTCGGTGCTCTTGCCAGTCAATTCCTCTCTCTCCTTATTCAGTGCAGGTGGAAGCACAGACCTGGGGGGGGTGGGAATTGCTGGTGCAGTCCTGCCCATCTCTCCCTCAACTGTCAGGGTCCTCAATGCCAGCAGTGACCCTCCAGGCAGGCACTAATCCCTCATGGACAGAGGGGAGGTGGCAGTTGTCGCATTCCCAGGGTGGGGCTTCTGGCCACAGGGAAGACGAAGGTGCTCAGAGAGTCTGTGCAGCTTCCATCCCAGGCAGCGACCAGCTCCAGTGGGAGCCGGGTGTGGTGGACACAGCTGCAGGGTGAGGCTCCTGGGTGAACCATGGTGCATTTTTACCTTGTTCCATTGTATCCTCTGCTCATAGCACTCAGAGCACAGCAGTGATCAGAACTTCCCATGCCTGTGGATATCCTGGGGATCCCCTCACAGTGTGGGTTCTGACCCAAGGGGTGCTCAGGAATGAATCTGGACCTCTATGCTCCTCCATGCCCAAAATGCAACCTGCCAGAGCCTGGTGGTTTTCCACATCCAGCCCTCCCTCCCCTGGGTCCTCCTGACCGTTGCACCCCTCCCACCCACTCTGCCTTCAGCTACCCACAGGGAGATGCTCCTCACCCTCCCTCTGGGCTCACCTTCTGCCCAGATGAAAGCACAGTGGGTGCTTCCCCTACTGGGTTCTGCAGGACCAGGTTGCTCCCCTCCCCCACTCCAGGTCCACAGCCTAGACGCAACTTCTCTCCAAGTCTTGGGGGAGCCCTGACAGGGGAAGTTGGGACTCTCTCATGGTGGTGACACCCGCACACAGTCCTGCTGCATCAAGGCAGTGTGGACGTTCCAAGTGAAGTAGAGACACATAGCCCACGTTTCCTCCAGAGATGGTGATGGTCTCAACACTCTAAGATCCATGAGGAAGCTCAAGTGTCCTTGGGTGGAGATGTGGGTGAGGATGTCCATTTTATGGCATCTGTACGCAGTTCCATTTCAATTTTGCTCAAATGGGTTGAGCTTTAGACTAGAACATTCATTGCCATTGTTGAATATCTCCATGTCAAATACAATACAGGGCATGGGCAGACATCGCCCAAGGCATTGCCAGTGTCTTCATGACATTCTTTGGAGGACGGCTTAAGTCAGTTTGTTTAGAGTTAAATATTTTCAGGTAAAGATAAAATTCATTTTTTTAAAAAGGGACTTTAGATATTGTTGGTGCGCTTATGGTCCCTTGACATGGCTCTGCGCATTTGCAGAGGTGTTTTTCCTTCCTCAGTTCCTCATTGGCATCTTGGCACCCAAATAATTGATGGTGCTTCTGGCCTCGTAGGGTGGCAAGCCTTCCCGGAAGTCAGCCCATGGCTGCACTTCAGCAAAGTGGAGCTCTCTGTTCTGCTGCCACTGTCTTTGTTGTTGACTGTGGACCCTCTGTTGCCCTCAGGATCTGAGCTCTAGGGGGAGACAGAAAATGACAGGGTGCCGTCAGGCAAGATTCCGGGATGGCTTTCAACGTGGGGTGAGTTCAGTGGGAACACAGGAATTTCATTCTGTTCTGTCCTATTTTTCTGGTTTGTGTTTTGGTAAAGGCAATGAACTAGTCAGAGCAAGGATCTTCCCGTCATTTCAAATTTTGTGTTAGGAAACGTCGTGGCTCCACTCACCATTTTGCCTTTTTCCTTTTTCCTTTCCACTGGCATGTGCATGCACAGCTTTTACAATGCTTGTGTCTGAAAGCTGGATGGGTCTGGATTTTGAAAGAGTGTGTTATTTCAATTTTTTAAAACCAAATCAAATCAATATGAAGCTTCTGGGTGAAACAATAAACTTAAAATTTTAGAAATTTAAAAAAAATGGCAAAATGTGTTTATTGGTATTAACAGATGAGCAGGAGTCTAGGTTCTGGCCAGAAACATAAACCCATTCACTGAAATAGTTGAGGTGAGCTTGACTCTCTCTCTACATGAAGCCACTCTGCACGTGCCTGCATGACTAACAGGAAGGCCGCATTTTCATCCTTATGAAAAGTTCCTGTATGACCACAATGGAATGATTTAGTTTAATCGTCATGTTAATGGTTCCTTTCCCCCTGCCAGGGATCGGGGATGTGAGAGCCCTGATGATGTGTTCATCCTAAGAGAGAGCTGTGTACCTTCTGGGAAAACTTGAAGGGTAGAATAAAACCAAAGTGATCAAGGGTCAGCTATGATTTTTCATCCAAAGAGAAATGCTTTTATGAGCTTGCTGACTTTCACCCTCATCATTTTCAATACCTTGAATTGTGAACAGTAATACCCATGTATCAGGGCAGGTAGGATACATGTAGAATTTCAGAATCACAAAATGAACTCCCCTTCACTGGATGAAGAAACACAACATCACATACCATCCTCTGTTTCTCTGAGTCTGCACAATAGGAGACCCTCTCAATCACTGTTTCCTTTGCTCACCATGACACATTCCCACACAATCATGTATTATTGAATGTATAATAAAATCAGGCTTTTTATTTTTCCTGGTGTTTAAAATATAAATAAATCATATTATTTTCATTTTCCTCTCTAGGCTCTTTCACCCAACATTATGTGGGCGAGGCGATCCACAGGCTTGGCTATGGCCAGAGGCTGGTGTTTTCACTGCGTAGAAAATCCCACTCAATGCCAAGTAAGTGTCCCTTTCTGTAGCACAGTTATGCTGGATCATTCCATTCATATTTTCTATCCAAGCTGGAATAGCACCACCTCACGAACCGTGCACGCCCATTTCTTCAGGGATCACGGTGTCAGTTTATGTATGCGGGACTCTTGGACTGCTCCTGGGGTTTTCACTGAGGTTGTTTCCCAGCATTTGTTCCTGTAGATAAATGAAGTGCCAGGGACATCTCCACAAGTGCAGATTTCTTCGTTTCCAAAGTCCTTTCCCAAACACTGAACAGCTCTTTCTCCATGGCTGATTCTCAGGCCCCAGCACCACGGGAGGATGGCAGGGACTGCTCTCAGGAGTGAGGGGAGCCCCACATCCGTGCTTCCCAGCACCGCTTCATCCTATCCCTTAAGGCTTTGCCACCATCTGTCCCCCATTTGTCCCCCACCGCCAGTCCTGCCTTTCTCCCAGGTTTCTGCCCCTCCCTGCTGGGCCTCCGGGCGCTCCCTGCTCACGGTAGGCCTTGGGCACCACACATTTTGGGTCTGGGTCCTCTCCTTCTCCAACAGCTGTGGGGGGCTGGGGGCTTGGGGGGGCGAGGGTGGATTTCAGCTCCCTGGAGCCCTGTTCTTGTCCACTTTGGCCCCAAGCCCTTGGGCAGGGGCAGCTCAGCGCAACCCCACCCCACCGGCTCCGTCCACGCTGCTCCCCATGTTCCTCGGCCTGTCGGGCCACAGGAAGTTCCCTAAAGATGTGGGGGTTGTCTTCCCCGCACCCCCATGGCTGCTCAGGGTATGGCGGGCCTGTTGGGAATGTCTGGGCCAGGAAAGGGTTGGGCGGGCAGCACTGCCCCCTGGTGGCCAGAGGCGGTGCCCCAGGAGGAAACAAGGGGGCGCAGGTGAAGGCTGAGGGTCTCAGGGTAGCCCCCCTCTAAAGCTGGTTGCTGGTCTGTGGTCCTCATCTGCCTGCTTCAAAGGGACTCACACTGCAGGTACCCACAGAAGGTTAACAAAGATTTATTTACAAGCGAAGCGGAATGAGGAAATGAATGACTCAGGGAGAAAAGGGAGATAAAGTCTTAAATGCATCCTACCCATTACTCCGACCTGGAATCCCAATGACCCTCTGAGACCAAACCGGCCTGGACAAGAGCACGAGCCAAGTCCCCAAGACCCCCTAACAGGGCTGGTTTTATTTACAAACAGAGAAGATGGCTGCTTAACACCGCCCTTAGGTCCTCGCAACTTCCCTTTGGGGATCATGGGACTTGTAGTTCCCACTGAATTGATGGAGTGGGGTTGGCATCCACAAAGCCCGTATGGAGTTTGCTCAGGACATCCTTTCCCCCTGTAGGGGCAGGAAGGGCACAGAACAGGTTTTCTATGATCCGAGCAGAGCAGGTAAAGGAGAGCCCTGGAGCCCTCAGTGGGTTTCTCAGGCTTTTATTGAGCATTTACATGTAGTGCAGCTATCAGATACATGGCAGGCTGGGGTGCTGGAGGGGCCTAGAGGCCACAGGCCTCCAATCCCCAGCAAGTCTTCACTCTGGCTGTGATCCCTGGTGTTCTTTCTCCCCTTTTCTCTCCTGCCTCTCCTGCTTCTTCCTCCTGCCTCTGCTTCTGCTTCCCTTGGTGACTATCTATATACTCCTCCCATGGCCCACAGAAATAAACAACATAACAATGTAACAACTGCAGGTGCCCATCAGGCAGGGCAATCCTAATGGTGGGAGGGCAGAAAATTGCACCCTACAATATCCACCCCCTCAGGGTTTTCTGCCATACAATCTATATACAAGTATATACAAGTTTCCATTAACAAACACAAACACAGCAGCCATGGCCCACAAAAGAAAATACAACAGAATGCAAATAATTCCAGGCAGGGCACCAACCTAGTGGCAAAAGGTGATTATTGGCACCAGCAAATGAGCCACCATGTCTGCTGCTGAAGGCACTACTCATGCAAGGGAGAGAACCTCTCAAGCATCTGCCTTCACCCACCAGGTGCCATCAGGATTCCTGGCCTTCTCTGGCTGTGGTCTCGGCCACAACCTGCATACTGCATCCACCCCCAGCATGCACTCACTCTTGGAATGGCAATACAGTCTCTTTGGGGGTAATTGTCCAATCCTCAGGGTTTTCTGTCTGTGGTGATTCTAACTCTCAGCTTTCATAGCCACCAGTGTGACACGCAGAACCCCTGCCCTCAGGCCAACCCATTACACAAGCACATTGGTCAGGGATCTGTGGATTCAAGCTCCCACATGTGGCCTCTCTTGGTTCCCCTCTTTGGCTGAGGGCTGCACTACAAGCCACGTTCCCCACCCTTCCCCCAAGGACGGGTTCCTTAGTTCCTCATCCTCACTCAAAATGAGCAGGACACCCCCCACAGGTGATTTTAAGAGACTCACTGGCCTTCCTTAGCATACTCAGGCTGCTGAACAGCTGCTCAGGAATTCCCAATCTCAGCACCTCTTTTGCCTTTCGAAGTTGGCCTTTATCCTCTGCCTGGCTGCTGGGCAGTATATGGGCTGCTTTTGGCCATCAAGGACCCATGGCCACCCCAGATTCCCATCTCCTGGGTTGTACAAACAATACCATATTCCCCCAGAGTCCCCAAAACATAACATTATCCTGCCAAAGTTCCTCCGCCTTCTGGCAGGTTTGTCAGTCCATCAGTCTTTGCATCAGCACTGGGAGAGCTCTGAATCATGGTCCTTTCTTCCCTGATGATTTTGCTGCCTCAGGGATTGTTGGCAGGTCCTCGTGTGCCATCTCCTCCTCCACTTGAGGTTTCGTCCTGCAGCTCCTGGACCTTGTCCACCTCCTGTGGTCCTGCAGCGTCCTTAGCTTTTCCCACAGCTCCTGGACTCTGGTCACTACCTGTGCTGCCATGGCATGTCCAGCGTTGTCACAGGCAAACACAGTCTGCTACTCCTTAGTCCCTCCTGAGATCTTCAGAGGGCGCCATACATGTCTGCATCGGACCATCCTGCTGACTACACCAATTGTAGGGGTATGCTGGTCACAGAGCAGGTTTTCTGTGATCTGAGCAGACCGGGTAAAGGAGAGTCCTGGAGCCCTCGATGGATATTGCAGGCTTTTATTGAGTGTTTGCATGTAGTGCAGCAAGCAGGTACATTGCAAGCAGAGGTGCTGGGGGGCCAGGAAGCCTCCAAGCCCCCAGCAAGTATTCACTGTGGCTGGGTTATTGGCATTTTTTCTTCCCTTCTCTCTCCTGCCTCTCTCCTGCTTCTTTCTCCTGCCTCTGCTTCTGCTTCCCTTGGTGACTATCTCTGTACTCCTCCCATGGCCCACAGAACTGAACAACTCAACAATGTAACAACTTCAGGTGCCCATCAGGCAGGGCAATCCTAATGGTGGGAGGGCAGAAAAGCCTGAAAACCATTTACCCTACACCCCCTAACAAGGGGAGGGGGGAGCCAAACGAGGACCCGAGCCCAACACTGCTTCCCATTTCTGCAGGGTGCGAGGCTGGTGCCCTTAGCTTGCTGTGGTGGATGCCCAGGAGCCAGTAAGTGTCCCCCCTTACAGCTTTAGGCCCCCCCGGCAATGGAGTCCCAATCAACACGAGTGGCCCTGGGCACGTGGGACAATTGAGCCAGATGCCAAGGCTAGCCTTCCCTGGGTCCTGCTTCTCTTCCACCCTAGTCTGTCATTTCTTCATTTCTCGGTTCTATCGGAGTCCTCTCACCATCCACGCTCCCCCAGCCAGTCTCGGGTAAGTGGTGCCAAAACAGGGGCCTGAGGGGAGGACAGGCTTCTTCCCCCAGAGTGGGGGATACAAGGGCGAAAAAGCCTTAAAGGTTGATAGGCACAGGCCAGAGGCTTGGCTGGGTGGGGAGGACTGGGGGCTCCAGGGGTGCAGATGGGACAGACTGAGAGTGAGAAGCCTGAGTCTGTGAAGCTTCTTGAAAGTTTGCTGAGGGCATCCCCTGGTGGCTCAGCAGTTGAGTGTTGGGCTGTGAAGCTGCCCGCAGCCTCTGCAGCACTGGTTCGATCCTCGGCCACCAGGGAGGTTCCCACATGTTGTGCAGACCTCTCTTGCTGTGCCCGCTGCTCCCCTCATCAGTGTATTTCATTGGTCTGCCTGTTCTGTTCTCCACTGTGGCTCTGGTGAATCCTTGCTGGCTTCTGTTCAGGTGATCTAAATATCGTGATGCTCTTTTACCCACATGGTGCTTTGCTGAGCCTTTTCAGAGGAAAAGACCTATTCTTACATCACTCTGAAGTTTATCCATTGACGAACTGATGCTGACCTCACAGCTGCCAAAAGACATCGGCATTCAGGGGCAGCTGTGGTCAGAGCACCGGTTCAGTGCATCACATAACTATGCTGGGTTATTTTCCCTGTGTGGTTGCCATTTCTCCTGAGTGTGGGGAGGGATCATCTGTATTTTGATGTAGAATTTGCTCTTTGACCTGCTGTCCAGGGCAAACCCAGGACTGACTTCTAACATGAAGGCTTGACCACGATCAACCCTACAGTGATACACGAGGCCGTGTGACTCCTCTGTAATTGCTCTAACTAAACTTACCCTGTTTTCAAAGTCAGCCTTGTATGGTGACAACTGGAACCTGTGATTTCTGCCAACAACAATCCACATTTTTGGAGTTTGAGATTTTTTTCCCCTAAGCCTATGGAGAAAAAACTGCAGTTGTGCAAAATATTCCTCCTGGCATAACTAAGAAAACTGCCCGTGTCTGCATGTTGTGTCTGCAGGGCCTTACCTCGTGCCTGTCTTGGCATCTAAAAGGCTGTTGACATTCTGAATGGAGAGATATGATAAAACTAGCACTAGTGGTATGTTCCTTAATCCATTTCCTCCCCGTCAGGTCTGCACCTGGACACCCCACAGCAGCCCCCCCTCACCCCCCCTGGCCTGGAGCCTGTGACCTAGGCCTTGGGGCCTGTGGATCCGTTTTCTGCCACTGGGTTCTGGCATGTGGGTCCCGCTACCCACTCCTGAGCGACAGGCACCTGTTTTCTCTTATTGTCCTTGGGTGCCTCTGGCCTTCAGCACCTTCATCACTCTGAGCGCAGTCCCCCCACCCTGCCCGTGGTCCCCCGTGTCCACCCCCTTCCTCGCCCTGTGCCATCCCCTTTCCAGCTGGGGTCCTCAGGCCTTGCTATGGGCAGGTTTGGGCCCCTCCCCAGCACGTCTCTCGTGCCCAGGCTCCTGCCAGCAGGCCCCCGGTCAGGCCATCTTTCTCAGTCCCAGAGCCCGTGCGCAGATGGGGCCAGGCTTCCTCTCGGGGCCTGTGTCCCCAGCACCATGTCCCGGGCGCCACTCCAGCGAGGCCCGTTGGCGGTGGTGACGGGCCCTCCCCTCCAGGCAGGCGACGCCGTGTGCGTCTGCTGACCCATCTGAGTCCACAAGGTTAGGCTGTCAGTCTCAGGCGCCGACCCCGAGGGGCCTTCCAAGTCAGCCGGGAACCCCGGCTGGGTGGCCGGGCTGGGCTGATGTCCGAGGCGGCCCTTGGAGCTGCGCAGTGGACGCCTGGGATAAGATGAGAACCAGGTGCGCCGGGCGTGGCCTCGGTCACAGCAGCGAGGCCTCAAGCAGAGCCGACGGGGCTGGGCCGGCGCTGACCCGACCTGCAGACGAGCGCCCGGTCTCCCTCCCTCTTCCCTGCCTCCTCCCTCGCGCCGCGGGGGGACTGTCCTGCCCGCGAAGGGCCGGGCCGCGCGCCTCAGCAGCCTCCCCGTCCTGCAGTCGGGTCACCCAGCAGCAAGGCCCGAGGCTTCTGTGCGTTGGGTCTTCCCGAGGCCCGTGGGGATGGGGGACCGACGACCCCCGCAGTGGGGAGCCGGGCAGGACACGGGTGGACACGGGGAAGGACGCGGGGACACGGGGTGGGCCAGGCGGCTCCGCCCCATGGAGCCCCCGCACACTCGGGAGGCCCCGCCTGAACAGTGCCCTCCCGGCCCCCCAGGCGGCGGGGGCCAGCGCTGGCCTCCAGCCGCTCAGGCGGCACCGGCGCTGAGAGACGAGCAGACCCCGGGTGAGTGGGCGCCGTCCTGTCCCCCAGCGCGTGACACGCGACCCTCTCACGGCCCGCCCCACGGGCAGCCACTTCAGCCACGGCGGCCCGCGGGGGGGGGGCTGGGAGGAGCCATGGCTTTCCGCTGGGCATCTCGGAAGAGTGCGGCTAGGGCAGGTGGGACGTGGGGGCGCGGCCGGGGCAGAGGGGGCGCGGGCTGCGTGGGCCTGGCTCCTCCACCAGGCCATAATTTCCCGATGTGTCACCTTCAGTTTTTGCTCTCTGGCCCCCTCAGGCTGAGCTGGGGTGCACCGATGAGGCCCCACATGGGGGCCGAGCTGGGGATCCCCACTCTGTTCAGCCGGACACCTAGAAGCTCTTGGAGTCTGGGGGCAAACAGCAGGGACGCCCTGTCCTCGCCCCTCCCGCCTTCCCGGCGCGCCCAGGCCCTCCTGGCAGCCTGGCCGGTCCTCCCCGGCGACCTGGGGTGGCAGCCGCGGGGGCGGGACCTGCAGTTGGGCACATGCCCAGTGCCACACCGAGGTGCCCACCCTGTGCTCCCCCGGCAGGTCGCCCTGGCTCCCAAGGGCCGGGCCCCCAGGCCTGCTCGGCGTCCCGCGCGGTCAGGCGCCCCAGCGCGCCCGCAGCCCAAGGTCCCATGGCGCAGAGGGCAGGGCGGGTCTCCCAGTCGGGGAGGGGTCGGCGCCCAGGAGGTGGCCGGCGGGGGGCGGGGCGCCTCTGGGGCCTGGTTTAGGGGGACCTCCCTGGGGCTGCTGGGACCGCGCGGGGCGCTGGGCGTGGGGCCACAGCAGCAGCAACACGCCTGCTCAGCGGAATGCGGTGTTTTGGTGCCCACAGCAGCTGGACCCTTGATACACGATTCAGGGGTGGACTGTGCTGAGAAACAGAAGTGGAGCCATGGAGTAGGACCACGGGAGGGGCCACACACACGCAACCCCAACCCCCTCCGTGCCCCCAGACCCCCCGCTATAAAAAGGCAGCTGGAAATGGAATGTTAAAGCGGTTTCTTTAGGGTGTTCGTTCCCCAAGTTCCAGGTTGCAGCTGCCTCATTGAAGCACAGTTTAAAGACTCCGCTCCCGGCTCTGCTTTACTAGCATTCGCTGGTGACAGGTCCCTGAACCCCAGGCTGCCGGTGCAACCCTCCTTGTGGACTTGTCCTCTGCGGCTCTTATGATAGTGAGGTGTGTGCCATGTACACTCAGTTTGCAAGGGTTTCATCATACATGGATGCTGAATGTGTCAGATGTTTACTCAGCCTCAGTTGATAGGACGGCATGGTTTTCACTTTCCTTTTTATCAATTGGGTGAGTTTCATTGATGGATTTCCAGATCCTGAGCCATTCTCGGGTACTGGTTTAAATCCCACTTGGTCATGTTGTGTCATCTTTTCATTGCATTGTTGGATTTGGTTCATTAAGCTTTTATTGAGGATTTCTGCATCTCCGTTTATTAGGTGCACTGTCTGTACTTTTCTTTCTTTGTGTTCATGTTTGCTTTTGGTATTAGTGTCATGGGGACCTCATAAAATCTATCTGGAAATATTCCTTCTTTCTCAATTTTTGGAAGAATTTTAGCAGTACAGGAATTAGTTCATCTTTGAACATTTGGTAGAACTCACCGGTGAAGTCATTAGGTCCTGGACTTTTGTTTTCTGGGACCATTTGGTGACTTTTTCAATTTCCTTGCTTGTGATTGATTTGTTTGGGTTTTCTATTTCTTCCCTATGTAGTCATGGATAATTCTTTAATATCTAAAAATCTGTCCATCTCATTTAGATTGTTGAATTTATACATTTTTTCAAAGAACCAGTTAATGTTCATATTGATCTTTTAAACTGTCTTTTCCCTTTCTATTTTATTTATTTCTGCTCTGAATTGTATTATTTCCTTCCTTCTACTGACTTTTGAAATATGTTGCTCTTCTTTTTCAGGTTCCTTGAGATTAGACACAAGTTCTTTATTTTGGGCTCTTTCTTGTTTCTTGATGTGGGCCTGTATTGCTATAGAATTCCCTCTTGGTACTGCTTTTGAGGTGTCCCACATATTCTGGAAGGTTGTGTCCTCACTATTATTTATCTTAAATTAAGTTTTGATTTCTTTCTTGATTTTCTCATTAATCCAGTGACTTCTCAGTAGTGTGTTTTCAGCTCCTTGTATTAGAGACTTTGTTTTCTTTTTGTAGTTGATTTCTAATTCAATACCTTTATGGTCAGAGAAGATACTTGGTATGGCTGAATCTCCATAAATTCATTGACATTTGTCGTGTCACTCAGTATGTGGGCAGTCATGAAGAATGATCCTTGTACAGGGCCTCCCTGGTGGCGCAGGTGGTTGAGCTACACACAGTGAAGCTATCTGCAGCCTCTGCAGCACAGGTTCAATCGTTGCTGGCCGGCAAGAATCCCACATAGCGCAGCTGACCTCTCCTGTCATGCCTGCTGCTCCCCTCAGCAGTGTATTTCGTTGTTCTGCCTGTTCTGTTCCCTGCTTTTGCTCTGGTGAATTCTCTCACCCTCCCGCACTTCTGACTGTACCCAGTGCTTGTATAAAAAACAAACAAAAAAAAAGAATGATCCTCGTACACTTGAGATAAATGTGTATTTGGCTTTTGTGTATGTGTGTGTGGGGGGTGCAGTTCCCTATATATGTCTATTAATCCCATGTGGTCTAATCCTTTGTTTAGGACAATTGTGTCCTTATATATTTTCTATCTAATTGTTTTGTCCATTGGTGAGTGTGGGGTGTTGGAGTCTGCAAGGTCATATGTATTTTCTCCAATGTCTGTTTTCAGATTAGAAATTAGTTGTCTAATGTATTTTGGTGCTCTTCTGTTGAGTATATATTGATGAATGTTATATCTTCCTGTTGTATTGTTTCTTTAGTCATTATTGTCCATTTCTGCCTCTTGCTACCTTTTAAAGTTGGAAGCCTATTTGATTTCATATATCTGTCCTAGCTTTACTTAGTATGTATTCTACAAGCCATTTGCTTGTAGAATATTTTCTTTCCCTTGTCTTTCAGTCTGTGTTTATCATTGGGATTTAGGTGTGTTAGCAGCAGAAGTTTGGATTCTGTTTCCAGTTCCAACTTCATACTGTATAGCTTTTATTTTGCCAGTTCAGTGCATTGATATTTGATATAGCCGTCATACTTAATTTTTTGTTTGTTTTATTTTAATTCTATTTAATTGCTTTTCAGTTTTTGTTCATCTTTCTTTTTTTATTTTTTAAGATTTATTTATTCATGCATACAAGAACTGTGGTGCAGGCCTGATGCACGGGAGTGTGAGAGGATTCACCAGAGACAGAGTGTGGAACAGAACAGGCAGATCTACTAAAATACACTGCTGAGGGTACCTCAGCACTGCTGAGCGAGACAGGAGAGATCTGCCGCACCATGTGGGTATCTACCTGGCTGGCCGGGATTGAAGCCACACTGCAGAGGCTGTGGACTGCTACACAGCACTGCACTTAACTGTCTGTGCCACCCCGGAGGCCCCATCTCTTTCATTTAAATACAAAAATTCCTTTTAATACTTCTTGGAGAAGGGGAGGTAACAACTACAAACTCCTTGAGATTGTGTTTGTCTGAGACGGTCTTTATATCTCTCTCTATCTTTGCAGGAGGGAGTTTTCTTCTTGGCAAATTTTATCCGGGTGTATTTTGAATATGTCACTCCATTCTCTTGTTACCTACAGTGTTTTTCTGGAGAGTCTGGTGTTAGTCTACTCAGGTTTCCTTTATATCTCTTTCTTCTCCCTTGTCAGCTTAACTATTTTTTCTTTACCTT